CACTACAGTGCGGCGGCTCCCTATGTCAAGAGACAACAGATCAAATGGTTCTGATATGTGTTTAAACTATCACCAGATAAAGAACCACAGAGAGCATTTTCAGCAAGACACAATGGAAGCAGTGCCACTGTCGACCACTTAAGCGACGAACAGAGGGAATATCTGAAGCAGTAATTACCAGCTTCTACTCATAGATCTACTTATCAACACATCAAGACTGGCTCTACATGTTTCTTCGAAAGCTGACACTGAAAGGTAGACTACGACAAGAGGAAAACAAGAAGATTTGGAACACAAACGTTTATCTAAAGTACAACTATAGGATATAAAGCATTTAATTAAAAATTGTCGTGAATCGACAGGAATAAAACATTGCGACATGACAAGACATGTTTAGCACCACACTTAACCTGCACAGGACTGTAGGCCGGTGTGGCCGTTATGGGTGAAATAATGATAACTTTTTGGAGGTTGAACAGGGTGTGAAGGCTTGCCTTGTAGGTCTGTCACCAGCACGAGAGACTTGACCCTCATTGTTTAGAACCTTTTAGGTCATGTTGGTTTGCCACCAGCAAGAGATTCTTTAACCTCATGGTGTGAAACCATTCAGTTCATGTTGGTTTGCCACCAGCAAGAGATTCTTTAACCTTATGGTGTGAAACCATTCAGGTCATGTTGGTTTGCCACCAGCGTGAGATTCTTCAACCTCATGGTCTGAAACCATTCAGGTCATGTTGGTTTGCCATCAGCTCGAGATTCTTTAACCTCATGGTGTGAAACCATTCAGGCCATGTTGGTTTGCCACCAGCTCGAGATTCTTTAACCTCATGGTGTGAAACCATTCAGGCCATGTTCGTCTGAAAACCAGGTTGAGATCTTGTGATTTCAGAATGTCAAACTTTTCAAGGAGCGGTCCGGAGGGGATAAACAGTACGCAGGCAATCTGATCGACTTATTTTTCAATTGAATAATATTTAAAACAAGAGGATATGTTTAATTGCAACGGATTTTTACTCGTCTAAGTCTCTGTCCTCAAAGCGGCTCCCCAATCTACCAAAAGTGTCTCACAAAGCACGAAACTGTGTACCTCCAGAGATTTTCCCATGGAATTTCCGAAACATCCGTACTCCTTAACAGAAGGACACATTAAAAAATTAAACCCACAGCCTTCAAAGCAGCAAGCAGACGACATAGCAACTTTCGCTACAAAGACCCTAGTTCCTTCTTTTTTCTGATAGTCGAAATCGTGTAGTTCTGGTGGTTCTGTATGTCTAAAATTATCCGTTTTATCTACTTTCAGTCAATTCTGACACCCATGATTGTCATGACCATGATGTCAGACTGTCCAGCATCATTCCTTTCAGTCACCCTCTGCCTCTTTTTTCCCTCCATATTTCCCATGGTCATATCTGTCAACAATTTTCTCTTTCATGTGTATTCACTCACGTCTCAGACATATGATCTATGCCATGAAGTCAAACAGTCCAGCTTTGTCTATCTCAGTCTCCCTCTGCCTCTCCTCCCCTCCGACTTTCTCACTCTAACGATAACTCCAGTTGCCCCTTCTCATCACATGACCAAAGATAGTCTATTTCTAATGTGGGCTATCAGTTGTCTTTGCGTGTCACGTTCCTTCAAGATATCTTTACTACTTGTTTTATCTGTCCAAAGTATTCGTATCATTCGTCAACGAAACGTATATCCGCCGCTTCCCAATTGTTTTTTTTTTTTTTCTTTTAATTAATCATCCCGCGGTAACCACACTTTACTTTTTACAAACTGACCAATTGAACCTGGTTTAAAGATGCAGCAGGCTCAAAGAGTTCCTGTTTTGTTCGTCGATGAAGACTGTTCGAAACGATTTGCTCAATTTGTCTGCATTTTTTCTTATTCTTCAGTTTCGTGTTCTAACCTTATTTATTTTCATCTTTATTGTAGAAAAAGGTAATATCTTCATCTACATTTGTCTGTGTTCTGTTAGCCTCTCTTGTCTAATTTTTTTTTTTTTAACAGAGAATACATTTCAGTTAACTGTTTCTCCTTCCTTTATTGTAATCATCATCATTATCATCAGCAAGTCCTTTACAGAACGTCGCTCTCACCAAGGAACGCCTGAAAGTGTTCCTTTCTTAAGCCAGCTTTCCAGACTTATGTGCTTTCAATGCCAATGCATCTTCAATGTCCTGTATCCATCTTCGCAGTGGTCGACCCCTGCCTCGCCTTCCATAAGCTGCACTTTCCATTTAGTCTTTTCCAAGCCACCATGACGCTTGATGTGGCCAAAATACTTCCACTTTCGGGAGAGGATGCTGTTTATGAGCCAGTTCTCCTTGATGTTTAACTCGTATGGATTGTCCATGTTTTTCCTCTTCTTGATCCATAGTATTCTGAGAATTTTTCTGTAGCATTTTAATTCAACAGCTTCATCCCCGTGTGGGTTCCGGGGCCCTCTTATAGGGAAAACAAGAATAGGCCCACTGCCTACCCAAAAGCATGTCTTAAGAATGACTATTTGGGAGCTTCCTTCGAAGTCGGAGTGCATCTGCCTGAGAGGCAAGAAACTGTCTGCATACAAATTAGTCAGATCTGTCAAACGCGTGCACACGCAACACTCAGTTTCTGAAACAGGACTGCAGTCCAGAAGTGGACGAACAGCTAGAACTTTCCGCCAGAGTTTACAGCTGGTGAACGCGAAAAAGAAGAAGAAGAATTCAACAGCTCCAATCTTTTTCTAGTGACTAAGTGAGAGTCCAGGACTCACAACCATAAGTTTATAATTACTGCTTTATAAATCCATTATACTGCTTCACGCATTTCAGTTTTTTTTTTTTTAAATAATTTTTTTGATGTTCCCGCGTATATCCAAGCCGAATGTCCTGCTTATCTGGACATTTGACTTGAGCTATCTTCGTGACAACATTCCTACGTCACGCTATTTATCATACTGGCGCTGTTAAACATGTCAGGCGAGGAGGTCAATGATCTACTTGCCATAAAGTGCTGTCCCTCTGAATCGCCAAGATGACCGATCTTACACTAATTTAGGGCTATAATGTACATGTTTGTGCTTGGAAAACCCACTCTACTTACTAATTTTATGCCAAGGTAATTGTTGTAAACGCTGTCTACGTGTCCGCATTAGAATCCCCAATGCGAGATGTATGTTTTCAGTGGGTGTACTGTAAATTGAGGAGCAGGTGGCCTTAAAGTTACAACGCTGGGCTGTCAAGCTGGAGACCTGGGTACGATTCCTCAAGAAGGCTAGAGATGCCCCCCCCCACCCCCACCCCCCCCCACCTTTTTCCGCCTGCACTGCAGAAATGGTAGAATAAAGGCAATAATTGGCAGTTTCGTTTATTCTATGACTTGCTTGAAGGGCCATTAGCTTTGAAACACACAGTATCTATAGTTTATAGCTGCTCTTATTTCTTTACATTGGTTCGGAGTATTGAAACAGTTATATCATCTATATCATCATCGTGGCGTACCGATACACATTTTTTGTGGATGGCAGTCTACTACTCTTGTTCTGTTCAATGCTGTGATATCCCTTCAAAATTACAGATGGAATGGAGTAATCTAAATAAAAAACAATTGATTTAGGAAACATAGACGTCTAAGAAAACCCTAATACGAACGGTGATGGAAGAGGCCAAACGTTCTGAACTGTATTCCATAGATAATACCGAAAATACTGTATAGGATTGGTTTTAATAGAGTAATAGACTGGGAGCCCTATGTGAAGTATAAAGAGCGCAACGTTATGAATGGTTTTCCTATTACTTTAAAAATAAACTCACACATGGATGTCTTCCTCTTCTTCTTCTTCTTCTCTTCCATTTGTACCTCATCGACGTGTCGGGGGGGGGGGGAGGGGGGGGAGATGTAATGTACGTTGATGAGCTCTGTCAAGAGCACTATTAAGAATGATGTTCATTTCTGTAAAGCTGTTCTTAATGCCATCACTCCATATTTTCCGAGGTCTTCCACTCGCTCTATACCCTTTGTAATGTTTTAGTGTGGCTCGCTTTGTCAGATAGTACCAGGGCATTCTTGTTAGGTGTCCAAACCACTTTATTTGTTGTTCTTTAATGACCTGTAAGACTGGCCTTTTTCCTAGCATTCGTCTGATTTCATGATTTCGTATTCTGTCTTTCCTTGAAACCCCTGCAGCTCTTCTAAGGCATTTCATCTCCGTTGTCACAGTTTTACGTTCATTGAAGAATGTAAGTGTCCACGTTTGGCATTGATAGTATAGTGTTGACCAAAAAATAGTTGTGATAAGATTCACTTTAGAACTCCGAGGTATCTGCTTGTGTGTCAACAGGGAAGATAGGTTCCCCATTACTTGATTAGCTTTGGCACATCTGGAGCTAATTTCTCTGTCCAGTTTTCCGTCGGATGTGAAAATTGCTCCCAAATACTTAATTCCACAGGGTGTTGTTTTTTTAATTTTATTTATAAATTGTCTTTATGTCTTCCTATCATCATTGTCTCTGTTTTCGTAGTGTTCATTTTCATATTATAGCCCCCCCCCCCCCCCCCCCTTTGTTACTAATTTGATTTAGGTGGTTCTGTAGGTATTCCGTATTTTTTGCTATGAGTACCTGGTCGTCGGCGAATAGTAATTCTGTAATATCTTCTTCATGATTAAAGTTCGTTTCGCTATATATGTATGTTATAAAAAGAATCGGCGATAGTACACAACCCTGACGCTCACCAAAGTTCACTATAAAAGTTCTTGACAACCCTGCCTTTGATCTTATGCAGCATTTACTACGTGTGTACACATGGTTGTGCGGATTCAAATCCGAGACCTTTGAAAATCGTCATAAATTATGAATTTTTCAACAGTTGTAACATAATCTTTTATTCGATATTGACCTTGTCGACTCTTGTAAGTGACCCTGACCTAACCTATTTCAGTTACAACCGATTTCTGTTATTAATAGCTCAACCTGACGTGGCCGTTCTATTAATTAAAGTTTTTTGATCCACAGCTACAGGACATCCGACTGGGAGTTTTGCTTGACTCGGCCGTGCACGGAGTACTCAAAAACGGAGGAAGCAAGCTGGCGCATGTGGCAGAGCGCAACCCGGTGCCTAAAACAGACGTGGGCATCGACTGGGTTATGTAAGTAGTTGTGCTTGAGTTGGGTTGTGCAGCTGTTTAGTTGGTTAAAGTAAAATAAAATGCCTTTTGGAAGGAAGAAGAAGAAGGAAAAGGAAGGAAGACGAAGGAAGAAAAAGAAGGAAGAAGAAACGGGAAGAAGAAGGAATAGGAAAGAAGAAGAAGAAAATTAAGGAGGAGAATGAAGAAGAAGAAGGAAGAAGAAGAAGGAAGAAGAAGAAGAAGAAGGAAGAAGAAGAAGAAGGAAGGAAGAAGAAGAAAGAAGAAGAAGGAAGAACAATAAGGAAGGAAGAATCAGGAATAAGAATAAGGAAGGGACGATCGATCAGGAAGAGGAAGAAGGGAGGAAGAAGAAGAAAGGAGAAGAAGGAAGAAGAAAGAAGAAAAAGGAAGAAAAAAAAAGGAAGGAAGAATACGGAAGAAGAATAAGGAAGGGAGGATAAGGAAGAGGAAGAAGTTAGGAAGAAGAAGAACGAACGAACGAACGAACGAACGAACGAACGAACGAACTAACGAACGAACGAACGAACAAACTTTATTTTCAAAGGGTTACAAATTGGGCACGCAGGCCCGTCTGACATTCGGCCCTTCTAAGTACTCATTTTTTCAGAGTACCAATACCTGTTATCAATAATGCATGTTATGGATTTAATAAAGAAATATAAATTCTAGTATAACGCATACACACATCATGTACATACATAAACAAGCATACACATCCATAGACATAAATGCACAAACAGAAAACACACACACATACATGGATATTCATGCACACACACACATTCCATACATACACATCTATACATGCACCCATGCATACACACATTTACAATCACATGTACAGACACCAACATATGCCCAAAACCACACATTTACACTTATATGAAGAAAGGAGAAGAAGGAAGGAGAAAAAGAAAGGAAGGAGAAAATGGATGGAAGAAGGAATAAATAAGAAGGAAGAAGAAAGAAGAATAAGGAAGGAACTAGGAAGAAGGAACTAATGAAGATGGAAAAAAAATTAAGGAAGGAAGAAGAAAGAAGGAAAGAATGGAAGAAGGCAGACTGGAAAGAAGGAAGAAAAAAGTAAAACAGATTCTCTATTGACTAGGCAGTCAAAATCAAGTAGGCACCCTTAACATGTTAAAATATTAAATGCGGTATCGACCTAGGAGCCAAGATCAGCACAGAAATAGCATAATTAATTAACATTTATTTAAGCAAAATGAAACTTTCGAAATCTGGTTAAAAAGATGAGGAAAATATCGTTGTAGGAGGTGGGGAAAACAATGTTAGAAAAACTGCATTTCGGAAAATGAAGAATAATAGTTTAATCGACACAAATATGGTGTTTAGTCCATAAAAAGAGAAACGTGTTAGCTTGCTGTGAGTTAAGGTGAAGGACAAGCCTGTAAGTGAAACGAGACGTTTCAGACACCAAGGGAACGACTGGGAAAAGGCTGCTGCTGCAAATCTTTATCACTTTTATTTCCAAAATGTTTGTTGCTGTCTAGAGAAATAAAACAGCCTTTACTTGTTTGTATACTATACTCGATATCTTCTTCTTCTTCTATTTCGTATTTTTCTTCTTCTTCTTCTTCTTTTTCTTCTGCTGTTGCTGCTGATTCTGCTGCGTTCTGAGGAGTTTGCTGGTTGTTGTAATGATTGTATCTAGGCTATGATATCTACACTTTTCGCTCCAGTACAACCGATTTCAGTCAATTTTCACTTTCATATGAGCTATATTCAATACAGACAGAGGTCCTGGGGGGAAGGGGGGGGGGGGGGGAGTTGTTTTAACTTTATTAGTCAAATTAATTTATAGGTTTGGGGTTAGGGGGCGACTGGTGGTAGAAGCCTGATAGACCATTGTTTAGTCGGCGTTACTGACACCCTTGGTGTGCTGGGGAAGTTGAGGGGCGTTAACAGCGTCAGATGCCGTTAGGGGCAAGGACAAAACATTTAGTTCGAGGTTAGTCTACCCAAATTAAGTAGCCCATGTTCCATTGATTAACTTTGTTGAACTGGTCTACTTTTGGAAAGGGGGTGGGGGGGAGAGTGTTACGGGTGTGCCGCTCTGTTTTTTTTTTTTTTTTTTTTTGCTTTTTGGCTGTCTTGCATTTACGTTTTTCTTCCGATAAAGAGAATGCCTGTGACATAAAAATGCAGTACTCTCTAAGAGAGTTGTGTGTTATCCCCAGTTTGTACATGTTTTTTTTTTAGTGTTAAAAGGGCTGGCGTGCTGAAATATAGCACGCGATATCAACGGCATTGCGGAACACCACCGGTATAATTTTGCGAAGGCCCACGCGGCTCAGGAACCAATCTTTTTTTTTTTTTTTTGAGTATCCAGAAACCATGAGTTGCAAACCCTTCGGCTCGGTACTATGGATATCGCAACCCTTCGGCCTTGATTCCATTATAGGTACTGTTAATCTGGGAGAAATGTAGCTTTTCTGCCTACCCCTGGGAGTGAACCCAGACCACAACGAGTTCGTCACCCGGCCGCCGCGAAAGTCAGGTTTAACCAACTGCGCTAGAGAGCCAGGGAAAGGAACTACCAATCAGAAGTGAGCTAGTGTGTATATTTGCGGGCTTTTGGGGGAACTAACGTGAAACTAACCTGACAAAACATGCATCAGCTGATGAGACAAAGTTTAAGTAGGGGACAGAAGTATACAGTTTTCTTTAACTATCCAGGTGAAGCCTGGCATTGAAATATATATATATATATATATATATATATATATATATATATATATATATATATATATATTCTTCTTTCGTTCGCTTGAAATAAATTATCTATATCTGCAATATTGTCTCTAGTATAAACTTCACAGTCTTTTGTAATTCACTCTGCGAGCCGTTAAGTTTGGCTTGGCATTTCCTTGCACGTGTGCGGGCACTAGCACGAAAGTGAAACTAATCTATGTCAATCCCGATTGCCTCAGAGACACCAGTCACTGTGCTCATACCTAGTCCGTCTCTATCTACCTGAGCATATTCATTGAGTTACTGAGAAGCCATGTGCTGGTGAAAGTAAATGTTTCCAGTCATCTGACTGCTTTGAAAAAAGAGCACACAAGGGATGCCTAATCTGTAGTGGCGCCGAATGCCGTAACATATCATACACATTAAAAAAAAATTCCTGGAGAGAATGAGGCACCTCCGGGTACCCAGGGCGTCTAGCCGGCTCAATACACTTAGGGTAAAGGCAATAGGGACATATAACCAGATGACGACGGTACCATTAGTATTGGAACTCTGCGCTGGCTGCTAAAAATGAGGACATAGCATGCATGGAAATGCCCCCAGTGCTGGGATGGCAATTCTGGACAAAACTCAACATATCGAATAAAGAAAATAAACTCACATATATACTGTGTTCACAAATCATAACAAAATCCAAATGTGTGTTGGCCACAGCCCGCCTTCTCCCCTATCCAATTGGAAATGAAAATATGTGCACGCCACGCAGAATTGTTAATCAATACGATATATTGACCAAAGTGAATGAACAGCAAGAGATGCTCTATTCCTTCATTAATATCCTGATTTTGTATTTTTAAATGTCGGTTACATGTCTAAATAAAATTACGATAATTCTGTCTATTGGGGCTTATTTTTAATCGAAACATTCGTCACTTGATATCGATTGTCGAATCAAGCAGGAAATAAAAAGATAACTTGTATGATTATGCTCAGCATATTATTTTTGAGGTTTTTGAACAACGGATAATCATCATGGCGCACAGGTGGTAACCCAATAAGTGCTCCGTTCTTCTTCTAACTGAAGTCTGAGTCCGAAGAAGCTCAGCACAGTGCACAGGCTCTGTAGCACCGGCGAGGATCCTAAAATACATTAGGCAGATTTTCAACTCCAAATTTTGCCCGCGTAGCACCGTTAGGCTACTCTTTACGAAGTCAAGTCCACGTAAAAAATCCCAGCCCTTACTAGGGATTGAACAATGAACCTCTAGCACTCGAGGCGGAAACCATGCCTAGAGACCATGCAGCCCCCTTAAAAATGATCTATATATGTATAATGCATATGTCTTCATTTTTTTTTTAATTTCACCTTCTTTTTTCTTTAGTCGTCTCACTGATACCAGGTTGCAGTCGAGTGCCGTAGTTTTCTGTATTTGTCTTGCGCTTCTCGGGTAGCCGGGATGGCGGATTAGTTCCTCTTTTTTTGCAGGTTTCAGCTTCAATTATCCATCTCTTTCTTGGTCTTCCCCTCGCCTTTCTCCGGATATTCTGCTGTAAAAAGTATTATATGCAGTTTGACCTGGCTGTATTCCCACTAGATGACCAAACCATTTCATGTTTGTCTGTCAATATAATCCAGATATGGTATTTTTTCAACTTTCTCTCTAATGCTGGTATTCTTAACCATGTCCCTACTTGTTCTGTTATTGACCTTACAGAAACCATGCATTTCACATGTAGTTATTTTCCATTCTAATGCCCTGTTCATATCTATTTATTTCACCAAATCTTTACTGACCTTCATATTTCTTTATCTGAAGACCTTCATTTAAAGTATTAAATAGTTTTATCATATCTTCTATGTTGTCTGATAACGGCATATTTTCTTTGGCGGACTTCCAAACAACCATCTATAAATTATTGCTGCAGTGAAAATCGATAAACTGCTGTGAAAGGGCTTGGTTTACCTCCAACACTAACGATTTCCATTCTCCATTAATTCCGCTGAAAATGCTGGTGACTACTGTTTTAAAATTAATCTGTTTAGTTCTCTGGTGGGACTAAGTTCTTTTAACTAAATCAACTCTGGGGCAAGTTGAGAAACCGATAGATAAGAATTCAGCACACATTATACAGCAGATCTTCCCCGATGGTAGTAACTATCATTCTGACCAGAGCCGTATGAAACGTAAATCAGCTTGGTCTCTTGGGCTCCTAGGAACAGACCATACATAAACATCGTCGGTTCTGAAGACGCCATAATTTGTTTTTGTTGCCTGAATCGTCGACAA